ATATATATGTTTCATCACTCATACAATGCCTATTATGACGTCACGTTGTGTGATGTAATGTTGTTTTGTGAGTGTTTCGTGCTGTAATAACGTACTGACAGTTTTGAAGACTTTCAGTAAACCGAGAAAAAGGTTACAACTTCGTTACTTACATTAGTTAACTGTAACATTGTCAACAGACACTCGGCAAATCGCGTGAACTCGAGTTGTTCGAATGTTACAAAAGAACGATAACTCCGTATCGACCATGTATTGATTTTCAAGCGACTAGGTATAAGTAATACACCCCCTTCACGTGACAGACTTCAACCAATCGTAAGCCAGGATTTCATCGAAAAATCAACAGAGGTGGGGTAAAGATTTATGATAGCCCGATCTCTAAAATTGGTAGCCCCGGGCGTCGGGCGATGGTAATTGCACACCCCTGCACACTAGGGCTGTCACGAGTACCCGAAATAACCGAGAACCGCGGTCCAAGTTGTTCGGTTCGGTTCCGGTTCCATTTTTCCGGATTTCGGTTCGGGTCTGGTTTATATATTAGAGTCTGTTCAATACAAAAAATGGCGACAAAATCGAAGGAATGATGACGATAACAGTGATAAATAAACATCATAACTGAAATCTACTTCATTCCATGACAAAACACTTGTCACGGAAGTATTAGATAATTATCAAAACAAACAGGAATGGTCAGGTTGTGGCTAATAGTAGGCCAAGTCACCGATGTCTCAACGTTCGCATGGTTAAGACTTGTTTTCAATGTAAATATAATGTAACAAATAAAGATTTTTCAAGTTAAATTCATGAAATTAAGGTTTAAAATAGATGTAAATACCCGACCCGAAAAACCCGGAACCGAACCAAAAATTTACAGAACCGACCCGACCCGAAAAATTTTGGAACCGTGACAGCCCTACTGCACACAAGACAATCGAAACAAACAAGTATGGTTAGAATAATGTCCGTCGAACTCAGTAACATGTATACATGTAACAAGAATGATGATAAAAAAAATTTAAAAGGCATGCTCCATAAACTGATTAACTGAATGTAAAATAAATCAATTAATACCTTGCAAATGAAGAAAAACTCGAATTCATTTAGGAAAAAAAGTGTTAAATATGATATTTTCTCTAATCTGCTAACAGGGACCTATATACTAACAATATATAGGTCCCTGCTGCTAATTACAACCAAATTTTGCTATTTTTTCCAAATAGAAAAGCCCAGGCTCTTGATTTAAAGACCTAGAAAAACCCCTGTATGTTAACAGTACATGTATCACCGTTGGGTGAGCGCAGATGGTGGAATATTGGATACATATTAAGTTTTAACTTTAACCCCTTTGAAATATGTTTTGGGATGTGTAAAAATGCTGTGTTCTGATTGGGCAGAAAAATATTTACATGTATATGATGTATACTTATGGCAACTTTCAGTTATCGTTCTTGACTTCCATTTTTGGAAATCGTCCAGACCTGATAATGTGCCAAATAAATAATAAATATGTCGTCAGTAGTCAAGTAAAGAGGTGATATTTCTTTTTTATTAGCTAAATTATGTAACAATGTCATTAATTTGAAATCAATTTCACAGGTATCATTTGCAATGAAGCGTAACTAACTAATCCCATCGTCTTTCTGCGCGAGATAATCATGCCACATTGTGTACACAAACTGTAATTAGTATTTTTACGTGGAATCCAATTTCAGTGTGTTAAAAACTGCAGGTTTTAACTTTTTCTGTAATGATAACCTACTACATTAGAAAATGTTCGGTAATACATTACATTCATAAAAAGTGCTTACCACATGTTTATAGCTATGTATTGGTAGGCAGGTGTATGTTCATGACCATCGGAAAGAATTTTTATTTTTCTCACTCTTGAAATTTTTGGGATTTTTCTTTGAGGCATGGTGATGAAAGTAATGGTAAAACAACCAGTTTTGGAAAAGAAATTAGCAGTATTATAACAGCTGGCTTTGCATATAACATTTAGAATTAGGGATCCCAAGGGGGGGGGGGGGGAGTAGGATAGTTATTCAATTCGTTTCGCCAAGCTGTCAGGGAACCACACCTGGATGCCTTAGGGCTCTCGATTGTCTATAATTAGGGCCATTCAAGGGCCCCATTCCTAATTCAAAAGAGGTACCTTTCTTCCCAATTGAATGTGTTAATTTTCCAAATAGTCATTTATCCCCAAAATTAATGAAAATATGGTTGGATCTGTAATAACTAAACTTGCTATTCATATTCCTCTGTATTATAAAACAAAAATTTAGTTCATAACAAAGACCAGAAACCCAGTACAGTGGACTCTGGATATAACGAGATGCACAGGACTTATTCAGGACCCTACTTTCGTTTTGTGTACATGACTTGCATTTCGAATTTATACTTTTCTCTTTGTTGCCAGCTTACAACGACAGATTATGGTCCAATATTCATTATAACATGTGAAATTAATTAACACACACAATAATATTGAAATTGTCTAATTAAAAATTATTTATTTAAAAAAAAAGTGTTAAAGTACAAACCAGCAGAGCTACAGTCTCATCAGAGACTTCTGGTTTTGACACAAGTCATCAACATATTGACTTCATTTTCATACCATGATGTCATAAACAAAATGTGAAGATTTAAAGAGGCTGGGGGGTTGTGGCCATTTTTAGACTATATTGATCTCCATTAGAAGAAGAGCTCCATATGAAGATATAGAAAATGATCAAATTTTAAAACTAAAATTTTTGAAATTTTTCTTTGCCAAATGATAGTTCACAGCTTAAGATACCATATCTAAAAAATTAAGTTAAATCTGGTGGTTAATTTGTGGTTAATTTCAGGGTTCGAAATTCACTATATACAACTCGCAAAACGCGAGTTAGAATTCCCCAATTGCGAGTTAAAAATTAAGTAACTCGCAAAAACTTGCGAGTAGATTTTTTTTGCATTGAAATTGTAGCAAAATTATATAATATGACAGAACACAATGCCTTTGATTTAAATCAGTAATTTAAATAAAAGTCACACTGTAGTTGTGTTTTGTGTATTGTGCAGTAGTTACTTTTTCCTTAAGTTACATGTATTTAATTTATATGAATTTAACTTTATATGAGAATTGCGAGTAGTCTTATAAAATTGCGAGTTCACTTTCTTGGTACTCGCAATTATTTGCGAGTTGTAGTTTTAAGGAGTTTCTAACCCTGAATTTGTTGATCCCCCAGCCTCCTTAAATGTAATATATATGCCAGATTCTATTATGATCTGAATTGTGGTTATGTTACTCCTTGTATTAGACACAAAATCCTTTAACAAATATGACTGACCTCATTGCAAAAATGGTGAGAAAAAAGGGAAAATTAAATAAATTTTGAACAAAACAAAGAAGAAAGCAAAATGGTAGTTAATTAACAGGGAAATTCCAGTCTTTCAGGTGATGAAAAGGTGACTACAAAGATATTTTTACTTATATAACTAAGCAAATTTACGTTTGATCTCTTGAACTCTCAGTCTCTTGATTCAGAAATCCATGATCCCTCCAAGTCAAAATGCAGTCTTGATATGCATAATCTGTTGTTATTTACTCTCAATACCTCGAAGTGTCTATGTTTTAATGTTTACATGTTTTCAAAAACCCCAGTCACATTTCCAAGAAAGACCAACGGGTGACAGTTTTTGAGGCAAAAATACCTTCTTCAGGCAACAGTCAGCTGTTCATCTGCCATTGTCTTGCCCGAATTTGACCTCTTTTTTTGTCAGCCTACCAATTTTGTGTCTGTTGGGCCATGTTATAATTTTCTCTGCATCGGTGGTCGATTCCTTCAATTGAAGCAGTCGTACAATAGTCTGTCGACCAACCTTCAATCATCATCCGAACATTGGTAGACAGTTCTTAAAGTCGGTCGTCGATGGGTCAACATTATTGGAATTGGGTTTTTGTAAATGTTGGCTGATGGTGAAAATCAAACTGTGGCTTAGTGAACGATGATTGGGCGACTATTGGCCAACTTAGAATTATCTAAATTTTGAAAATTACCAGTGTTCTTAGGAATTAATGTGACTGCTCCACGTCACTCGATACTACTGTCGGCTGATCATGTTTTTAAGCTGACGATACGACAAAAATTTGATTTGCCTGACCATCAGCTTAAATGTGACCTAGGCATAACTCTGCACACTTTACTGAACACAAACCCACAACACATGATTGCAGTCCTGCATACTTTGAGGTATTGAGAGATACCTATACTAAATGTAGAACTCTTCAGTGAGCAGTGTTTAAAGCTTCCTTTAATTCAAACAAAGGTGTGATGGGGGGGGGGGTGGGGGTGGGGGCTTGTGATTAATTCCAGATAGGTGAACTTGTTACGTGTCTTTGAGATCAAAGACTGTTGAAGGAGTGAACAAAATAGTAGTTTAGACTATATGAATCAGCCTTGATAGTTCAATGATTAGAACATTTGACTAGTGAAACAGGTGTCCTTAGTTCGATTCCAACCTTTTATTTTCTTTATACATTCCTTTTCTACTACAGTAGGTTACAGATTAAAAAAAAATGTATATTTATATTTTAAAAATGTGTTTGTTATGACTTATTCACAAACAAAGGTGTGATGGGGGTGAGGGTGGGGGCTTGTGATTAATTTCAGATAGGTGAACTTGTTACGTGTCCTTGAGATGAAAGACTGTTGAGGGAGTGAACAAAATAGTAGTTTAGACTATATGAATCAGCCTTGATAGTTCAGTGGTTAGAACATTTGACTAGTGAAACAGGTGTCCTTAGTTCGATTCCAACCTTTTATTTTCTTTATACATTCCTTTTCTACTACAGTAGGTTACAGATTAAATAAAAATGTATATTTATATTTTAAAAATGTGTTTGTTATGACTTATTTACATGTTAAGGAAAACATTTAGATTTTAGAGTGATTAATAATCTGTTAAGAGAAGTACTTTTGAGTTTGATTAAAATACCTGTAATTATGAAGCTTTTATTTCCCTACAGATGTCAACAATGAAAATGAAACAAACCAATCAGTGGATCAAATTAAAAGTTTTGGTAAAAGAAAACAGTTGCATATACATGCTAACAAGAAAGGACTTACATGAAGAAGTGTTGTACAACTATGAGAATGGAAGGAGGATTTGGTGTTTAATTGAGGTAATTTAAAGTGTTGATTCCTAGGGCTGTTTGTTTGATGAAATTTAACCATTAGAATATTTAGTTTTGAAGAAATTTAAAATAAAATTATTCATGCAATTCCATTCAGGTGAGTTTTGTGACCAAAAGTCATCTTTTTCCTGATATTTTATCACAAAATTTTGTAAGAATTACAGTAAAACATGCTTATAACAAAGTGCCAGGGATGTAAAATTTTGCTTCATTATAAGTGTAATTCGTTTATATATCCATTAAGTTTACAATATATTTTAAAGTCACAGGGAATAAAAATCACTTTGCTCTAAGAGTCAATTCATTATAAGTGTGTTAGCTATAAGCGTGTTTTACTGCATGTAGAAAGAATGATATATAATTTCAGAATCTGGTCACCTTAAAGATTTTTTTAGTTACACTGTAAAGAAATATATTCTAAAGGTGAAGGTAAAGTTGTTAATTATGTAACGCTGTACACATATCCACTTTGAGGTATCAATGGTAAAATACAATAGATTATGCACAGCGGGTCTGCATTTTGACTTTGAGGGTTTTGAGAGATTGAGAGTTAAGAGATCAAGAGAAAATTTGTTAAGTTATATAGGGAAAATATCTGTGGATCTTTTCACAAAAAATCTTACAACATATTTTTATATTAAGTGAAAACTTATGATAAAAATCGTTTTCACAAAAATTCTTAAGAAAGTCGTAAGTGCAAAATCTGTCATAACTTTACGAGAGCCCCAACCCTCTCTTAAGTATTTTAAAAATGATTTTATTGTAAAAATATAACCGCAAAAACCAAAATACATGTTAAATTGAACTTTGTAAAGCAACTTACAATAATATTTTATATTTTTTTCACAATCATTGTCAAAAATTTAAGTGAATTACACTACAAAATATTTACGATGTAAGTTTCACTTATGACCTTCTTTTACGTCAGACTTTTGATTGTGACATAGATTTTAAACTTCCTTGCTTCACAAACGATTGCATTGGATATTTGTTGTCAATAATGTTTGTTATGCTGACAAATGTTAAAAACTAAGTTTTATTTTTATTTTCACCCACTTATTTAAGGATTATAAAGCATATTGAAGTCGTTGCTATGGATGAAGTCTGTCGTAAATAAAATCTTATTAATAACTTCAATCTGCTACGAATGTGTTCTTGTCGTAAGAAATTCTTAAGTTAAAATCTTACGCAAAAACTTAAGTTTTTTTGTGAAAAGGGCTACTAGAACCAAGGCTAATATTTCAAGCAATCAAGAACGTCGAAAGATCGAAGTTTGAGCCATTTGGAGTTGCCTGTAGTAAGGAAATGTGTTGCTTAACTTTATAATATCTGAGAATTTTCATACCTGTAATGACATAATCCCCCTGTTATTCTGGCATTCCCCCCTCAGCCCCCTTTAGCATAGCTAGAGGAATCAAAGACACCCTTCTACTTTTAAAATGTCCCATTTCTATTTCATTTCTTATGGATAACCCTGAATACCTGGTCACCTCAATAATTATTTTAAATTTCAAGGATCATACATATATCTCTGGTCCCCTTAAAGCTGACATGAACGCTTAAATATGCGATATTTTCATCCTGGTAAAACTTATTTCATTCTCGTACTCCCTTTTTCCGCCATATTTCTTTCAGATTCGCTCTCTTATTTTACCGGCTATATAAACCCTGATGACCCTGATGCCTTTGTTACACTTGAGTGATTTTCTAGCCTGGCTGTCGACATGTACACATCTCTGATAGCAAAGTCTTGGAACACGCCATGAACTGACATAAAAACATGTAGACCTGTACACATCTCTGATAAAGCAGTTTTGGAACATACCATAAATCTGAAAAACTAGGAATTTTACTGAAAACCATAAAGAAGTATTTAAATTTTGAATAATTTAGATGCAATACATTAAAATCAAAATAGCATGTGCATGTTTGATTCACACATATATTTGAACAATAAACAAGAAAAGGCTACCACATGCTACCTCATTTTTCAAATAACACTGTACTATTGAGCATTATGCCTGCTACACGGTATATGCACATACTATGCAACTTATGCATTCAAGTATAACAAATTCAGATGTACATGCATGCATGCCGAGAAAACGCATCGAATGCTTTAAAATCTACCTGAAATACTGCTATTGGTACAGGGATGTGCACATGTCGAGAGAATAACTTCCTTTTTAATGAAATATGCATCACGGAAGAAATAAATCCATTTGTTACTCAACGGTAAGCACATAGTCACTAGCACTTAAACACATGTGGTCCCTGTTGATCAGTATTTTTGGTCAGGGAAAATATCAAAGGTGAAAGTGACACTGGTATTTTGCCTGATTACACAAAAAAGTCACGCAAATAAAACGTTTCAGAAATCAAAATAACTGTTTCGATATATGTATTAATAGTTCATGAATGTGGCTTCATTACATCAAATTTAATACATAAACATACATTCTTGTTACGGATCTTACATCTTTTAAAGAAAATAAAAGGAGGGGGTGGGGGTGGAATATGTATAATATATTCTTCAATATATTTTAAACAAACGTCGGAAAAAAGTCGGATTTTCCTTGATCAAATATATTTAAATACGTACAATGAACTGGCTTCAACTGTTTTAGATATAAAACTAAAACTAATATATCGTAAATTTAAGCAACACTGAACAATTTGTTTCTGTACATAGATTATTTTCAAATCGGGGCCCTGTCAGGCATCACAAATTACAAGCATGATTGATACAATTACCGACAAGAACAGACATAATTATGTGTATATAAAATAATCTACAGTACATGTTTTGGTTTAAATTGAAGTTGAGTAAGTACATGTATTACACTATTAGTATATATTAGGGATGTCAGAGCCGGAAATAAAAATGTTGCTATCACAAACATGATTATCAAGGATTGTTTACCACTGATTGTTGTAAATGGAGAGGACGTTCAAGTATTGTTTGGTTTTGTAGACTCAAATTATAAAGCTTCAACCTGCAGTTCCATAAGATCTGAGGTGATGCAACTATTCATAAAGAATATTAAACAGCTGTTACAAAATTGTAAATACATGTAAACTGGGGGACAGTTATGAGTGTAATTAAATGGATATTAATATCATGCAGTCTTTTTAGCTCACCTGAGCCGAAAGCTCAAGTGAGCTTTTCTGATCGAAATTTGTCCGTTGTCTGTCGTCGTTGTCGTCGTCGTTGGCGTTGTCGTAAACTTTTCACATTTTCATCTTCTTCTCTAGATCTACTGGGCCAATTTCAATCAAACTTAGCACAAAGTATCACTGGGTGAAGGGGATTCAAGTTTGTTCAAATGAAGGGCCACGCCCCCCTCCAAGGGGAGATAATTACGAAATAGCAAAAAATTAATGGCATTATTGAAAAATCTTCTTCTCAAGAACCAATGGGCCAGGAAAGATGAAACTCATGTGGAATTATTGTCAGGTAGTGTAGACTCAAATTTGTTCAAATCATGACCCCCGGGGGTAGGGTGGGGACACAATGGACGATCAAAGTTTTACATAGGGATATAGAGGAAAAATCTTCTTCTCAAGAACAGCAAAGCTATGATTGGTCATATTTATATGGAAGCATCCTCAGGGGGTGTAGATTCAAGTTTGTTCAAATCATGACCCCCAGGGGTAGGGTGGGGTCACAATGGACGATCAAAGTTTAACATCTATTAGGTGTATATAGGAAAAATCTTCAAAAATCTTCTTCTCAAAAACAGCAAAGCTATGATTGGTCATATTTATATGGAAGCATCCTCAGGTGATATTGGTTCAAGTTTGTTCAAATCATGACCCCGGGGTAGGGTGGGGCCACAATGGAAGATTAAAGTTTTAATTAACATAAAAGTATATAGGAAAAATCTTCAAAAATCTTCTTCTCAAAAACAGCAAAGCTGTGATTAGTAATATTTATATGGAAGCATCTGTAGGTGGTGTAGATTCAAATTTGTTCAAATCATGACCCCCGGGGGTTGGGTGGGGCCACAATGGATGATCAAAGTTTTAAATAGGAGTATATAGGAAAAATATTCAAAAATCTTCTTCTCGAGAACAGCCAACTTTTGATTGGTCATATTTATTTGGAAGCATAATCAGGTGGTGTAAATTCAAGTTTGTTCAAATCATGACCCCTGGGGGTAGGGTGGGGCCACAATGGACGATCAAAGTTTTACGTAGGAATATATAGGAAAAATCTTCAAAAATCTTCTTCTCAAGAACAGCAAAGCTATGATTGGTCATATTTACAATGGAGCATCCTCAGGTAGTGTTCAAATCATGACCCCCGGGGATAGGGTTGGGCCACAATGGACGATCAAAGTTTTACATAGGAGTATATAGGAAAAATCTTCAAAAATCTTCTTCTCGAGAACAGCAAACTTTTGATTGGTCATAATTATTTGGAAGCATCCTCAGGTGATATTGGTTCAAATCATGACCCCTGGGGGTAGGGTGGGGCCACAATGGGTTATCAAAGTTTTACATAGGAATACATAGGAAAAATCTGTAAAAATCTTCTACTCAAGAACAGCAAAGCCATGATTGGTCATATTTAATTGGAAGCATCCTCAGGTAATGTACATTCAAATTTGTTCAATTCTTCCCCCCCCCCAAACCACTTTTATATTTAAACTTTTCAACCTTTCAAGACTGAATTGATTTCTGCTTTTTCCTAGCCATAGTGCTCAGGTGAGCGATGTGGCCCCTGGGCCTCTTGTTAAGATTGTATTGATAATTTGCACAAAATCTTATAATTAAAAGTTCTCTCTGTTTTTATAAGAGGCACGCTTTAATTGTTTACCAGTCAAAGGTCACTGACACGACACGTAAAAATGGCTTCAATTAACGGGTACATGTAGTCTCGTTATGACAAGAAAGGACAAATGCAAGCATTTGATATCCTGCATTTAGATAAAATGTGCAGTAAAAATTATATTAATTTTGAAATCAAATGCATTGGATATTAA